CGTGCAAGATATTGTTCTTTGTTTCACACTATATCCACAGTAGACTGATGAGTGGAAGTCAGAGTCAGCATTTGATTACAATGCTTTATCTTTAAAAAAAATGTTACTGAAATAACTCAGAACTTGCTCTGTGTAAAGGGAAGGACTTACTTATAGCATGACACTTTTGAAAAGAAGCATTTAGAGAAGAGAGAAAGTGAACACCTCAGGAAAATTCAGCACCACTTAAAGCTGGAAAATGCATTGATCATTTTTTTCTTGGCAGAAGGATGTTGTTTGTGTGTGAACTGGAGTCCATTGTCATTATTTTACTCAGTTTGTTGTTTCCTGTCTGGTTCAGAGTTAAGTCCCAGAGAAAGACAGCAAGAGAGGGAGAGCCACTGCTGGTTGCTGAGAAGTTCAGGGGTGTCGAGCTCGACAATTTTCATGAGCCGGGCTGAAAACTTGAGATAATAATCCTGTTTCATAAGATGGTTTTTGTTTAATAGCAGTTTCAGATCCTTACAGCTGAGAACATGCTTTTTCATGACTGCATTTTTAAACTCAGAGTTTCAACTTCTGTCTTTACCTTTGTTAAACAACACAAGAGAAATACGTACCTGAAAAGTGCACTTTTCAACAAAATGAGCACAAGATGATGCACTTCGACATATACTGTATTATTTTAGGGAGACTTCAAAAACACTTAAGTGCTTTTCGATTATTATTTGAGAACGGTTGTCGTCTAGAACACTTTATCCTGACTTGGTTTCAATTTTATTGTCAGCTTTTAATGTATTTTGCTGATTGTATCTCAGGTTGTACACCTGTCCACACAACAAGCATACCCTTTTGGGTACTAATAGAGAACCTTGAACGTTATTACTTTAGACTCTAAAGTTTAGAGTATGCTTCTAGGAAAGACGAGGTATGTTCAACAAAAATGACATTTGTTGTTCAATAACCGTCAAGAAAATTGGAAAAAGGAAATCCAAAAACATTTAAATCAATTGGCAAACTTTCAAAGATACATTGGAGTAGCTTGTTTTCAGCATCCAATCAAATCTTTACTGATGAAAACAATTTATAGACTTATAGTTTAAAGTGTTGTATAACATTTTGTGATATTTATGAAATCAAAAAATTAATGCATAACTCTTTCTACAAACAGTTACCAAATCATTGTCAACAGCTTCATTTGAGTTTAGGTCAACAGTTATTATTATTTTACAGAACCTTATATTTTCCTTAATTTAAAGAGAAGACAGAGATCTCTCTGTGCTCAGTTGAGAACAGGTACCTTACCTCTGGCAGTAGAAGTGGGACGATTTAAAGGCTTACCGGAAGAAGCACGTTTGTGTGAATTCTGTGATTTACAGGTGGTTGAGGATGAATTTCATTTTATTTTCAATTGTCCCTTATATGTTGACTTAAGGACTGTCATTTTTGAATCAATTCAGTTTAAAAATCCTGATTTATTTTGGAAGAGTGAAGGTGAGATTTTGGGTTGGTTGTTTGAAAAAGATGTTTTTGTTTTGGCAAAATTTGTTAAAAAGGCTTGGCATATGCGGCAAAGTATTTTGTACCCTGTAGGATGAACTTTTTTTGTTTCTCTTTCATTATCCTCACTGTTTGTGTTATAATTCTTAATGGATTTTTGATGTTATTGTTGTTGTATATTATGTTGCGTGGCTGTCTTGGATACATTGTGTTTTGAGTTTGTTGAACAGTGTCTAATAAGCCCATGGGGCTGGGCACCAATTTTGGTGTATGACACTTAAATAAAATTATCATATCATATCATATCATATTAAATAAAAAAATTTTAAAAAAAAGGATATTAACTCACACACTCTTGATGATCATCTTGATGAACTTGATGATACACCCAACACCACAGCTGAGATGATTCTGCTTGGTGGTCTCTAAACGCAGTGCCTCTGTTGATGGTCACCATGGTTAGGTTCAGGCATTGAAAACTTGATTAAACCGAGAGGAGAGATTGATGTTATAGGTACACCAAGCAAAGAAACATTATGCATAGAAAATATAATAAATTAATTATAACTTTTGTTTTTCCACAAGTCCTGGTGCCCTTGTCAAAAGGTCAAAAAACTTCAGATGACACCAGTACATTAATAACAAACACCGTGCTGACTTTACTTTCTATTTCACTTAAACATTAGAGGCTACAAAACAACATTCAGGCCTCACTGGACACTTCATCTGTATTGTGGTATTACTGTAACTGCTGTCTAATGAAGATTGAAGTCAAATGAAACCTCATTTAACGAAGTTAGAAACTCTGTACTTTTTGTAGACTATGACAGAATCTGTGCAACAGAGGACAGAAGCTGGAGTTTTAACGACCAATCCAATTTTAAAAGCACATATTTTTAGCTCCTGGTCCGAGGCTATAATTTAAAACTCACTGATGTTTTCTCCGTGTTTGCCTCCATGTCTTCATAGCTTTGGAATGCTCTGTCCAACGATTCGGATCCACAGATCCCTGCTACAGCAAAGAGCTTCACTTAGGAAAGATTGATGGCTGCCACCCTGCTGAGTTCACATACAGAGCCCATTTCCCCACAGTCTCTGAGGTAATCACCTATAAGTCCTTGATCGTGTTCAATCACTACAGACTGAGAGATCACCCCATGGGGCTTGTTTCAGCATGGCAAGTTTATTCCCAATTAGCTGCATATCCACAATTATTTCTGCTGGTGTCTTTACCTCATGCATGGGTATGTAGTGGCAACATAGTAGATACGAGTTCAAAGTGTTATTTCAACAGTTTGGGAAAGAAGGAGAGAGAAGGCTAAACTATAAATGAATACGAAAATGCCATGCAGTTTTTAAAGTGGTAAGGTAATAAAAACTTTTAATTATTTTTGATCTGGGACACTTGTTTTGTAGAGGTGGGTGCAATCTATCAATGTGTCAATGCATCATGCAATGCTTCACGAGATGATTTGGCATCGATTAATTAGCATCGATGCTTAGAAATAATAACGTGGATGCTTTGCCCTAAGGCCGGAACAAGAAAACACATAACCGGAACCTTTACGCACACGCCGCTTGGACTATTTAGTGAGTGGGACCACAACAAACAGAGCACGCTAGTTTCTTTGCAAAATGGCAACAGCTTCAGCAGCCTCCAAAGAGCGGCCAATTCTCTCGCCACCTGGGTTGACTGCGAAACATGCTGAAGTACTTTGGATTTTATGAGAGACTAAACAAGATGACTGACAAGATCTACGTGATTTGCAAAATTGGCAAAGCAAAAATAAAGTACCTCAGCGACACCACAAACATGAGGCGGAACCTTGTACGCTTTAATCCCGAAACAGAGAAGGCTCCTCCCATCGTGCCAATAATCAAATCGAATTGACGATCATTATAATTGAAGAATGGAAGCTCCCATAATCGAATCAAATCATGAAGTACCACACTGAGCTATAGACGGCTATCAGACATCTATTTTTTTTTTTAAAGACCTAATTTCAACCATCTAGATTCTTTATATTTTTAGACGGAATTTAGACGTTGCACTCTAACCCATTATTCAATAACTATTGATTTCAAAAAGCAACTGTGAGTTGCATAACTGATCTCCAAGTACTTAACCAAAATAATTATGATAGCGGTTGAGCGATATACAGTGTAGTTTAGTATATTTTAGACCAATCGTCTTGGCTACATTTGACGTCTTTTAGACCAAAAAATGCTCAGGGGGACCCTCGTTGGAACACCCCTATTGTTTTGGTTGTATTAAACCACCATCATTTCTTTCTGTTCAGTGCTCTATACCACCTCGTTTCATGGGTGAAACCTTAGCTTTCTTTTGTTACAACATCACATCACCTCTTAGCATATTGGAACAGTTAAGATAGCCTTCGCCCGCATGCCTTCTTGACCCTCACTCAGAGTTCAAGCTTGCAGAGATGCCTCGCAAGGGGAGCTGAAGGAGAGGCAGAGGTTAAGGCGAAGTTGGACAGCTAGAGGTTTAGACATGTCACCGGTCTAACAACAGACATGCTGCACTTAAAGATTAACACACACTTGTATGCACACACTGACAGCTGCGCACAACGTAGCCCCAGGCGTGCTGCGCTCAGGATTGGTTGGTTGGCTCATTTTCAGACCTTATGCCATTCTTTGATAGCCCCAAATAATCCCTCTGGTTTGCAGTGGTGTGTCAGAAACAGTTGTATCGCAAAAGCAGGAGACTGTGTTTTCAGAAGTGAGGAACAAAGAACAGACCGTCTTTATCCTGCGAAGTCTGTCTGTTTCTCTCTGTCTGCTTCAACATGAGCTAACATACAACCCTTACAGTGACAAATTCCTGCCTGTGCTCCAAAATATGTCATTAGAACAGAAAAAACCGAGAGGAAAATAAAGACATAGAGCTGTTGCTACATAGTTTTAAGTGTGGGAGATCGTTCAGAGGGTTTAAGTCTGTTTTAGGTCTTTCCAAGTTGTCGTTTTGAGCCATAAATGAAAGTAAAACAAAAACAGACTTCATACTTTGAGCTTATTTCTTTCTAGCTGTGTACCTTCCAGCCATCCATTTTCTCTCTAGATCCAACCCACTTCCCTGCATGGTTCCCTTCACAGAGCTGTGTTCAGACTCTTCCCCAGTAATTTTGCTTGCATCCCTCAAAATTTCTCTCGGTATTTGATCGACACATTTCACTCTAAAAAAAAATATGAAGAAACAGCTGCCCTCTATTCTGTCTTCCTCTGTGAATTCTCCTTTTCATGGACTTATGCAAACCCAGCAGTCTAGATCCATCCCTCAGGTTATAATAGTTAGACTGTGAAATCACCCGGGCCCCACACCCCTTCCTCATCCTTGTGTCCTTCTTTCCCCTTCCACTCCCTAACATCTTCCTCTCCCTCCTCTGATCCTCTCCCTCCTCCCACTACTTATGGCCAATCTTTAATATTTATGGCCTCAAAGCTTGAGAGCTGGGTGGGGGCACAGGGGCTTTACCTCGCCTATGATTACTTGCATGTTGTCAGGGACCAAACGAGGCAGGACGAAGCTTGCATGACAAGGTTGTTGCCGTGAAGCCGCAGTCCTGCAGAGCAGAAACAGAGGCTACCCACTCTCCTCCGAGCCCCCATACTGAAATGATTAGGCCACAGGAAGCTGAACCTGACATTGCTGACACTAGGCCCCACTACCACATCCTGCCTTGACATCCACCCGCGCCAGACGACACCACCTCTCCGTGCTGACACCCAGCACACTGGCAACCACAAGGATGATTTACATATTCTGATAAGTTGAATGAGGACTGAATGATGCAGCGGGACACTCGAGAGTGAAAGGAAGTCAAGAAACCTAAGATCAGGAGGGAAAGAAAGACAGAAAAATGCTTCTGGTTCCTGCTGGTTTCATGGTGGCAATGCAGCCCGGCAATTTCAGGCCAATTAAAAGTAACAACTGATATTATTGCTTGGACTAAGAGGTGTGTCAATACTCTCATATCATTGATCTGTGAAATGTTTAGATGTTATTTGCTGATTTTTATAAAAGTTGCCATGTTAATAAATAATAAATGGCAGGTTGAGAAGACAATACACTGCAGTAATTTTAATACCCTTATAAAAGAGCAATCCTGCCCTCTTGTGTCAGGGGTTGCAAAGGGCAGATGGTGAAACACTAAATTCATGTTGACTTCTAAGGATCTAACTTTACCACAGGCTTTATAAGTGAAATGAAGATGCAAATCTTATGTACACATAATACATTGTAACATACAGCTCACACTACAAAAATATAAATATGCATTTTTTTCTCAAACATGATTATTATTATTATTATCATTATTATTATCAATAATAATAATAAAAAAATAATAATAATAATAATAAACAAATACAATAACATAAATCATGTTTGAAAAAAAAAGTGCATATTTATATTTATTTTATATATATATATATATATATATATATATAATTATAACTATTACTTATTATTATTATTATTATTATTATTCTCTCAGGCTCATTTTGATCAAAAAGTGTGTATTTTTTAAAGTAGCTATTGCTCTCAGTTTGACTCCCGTCTCCAGTTTTATTTTACTAATGCAGAAGTGAAACCAGCTCCATTTAAAAAGGGAGTCTCAGTGAATTCTCCCGGGGCCGTGGGAATAATCAAAACACTGCAAGAGCCAGGGAGGAATACAAACTCCAGCTAAGAACAAAGGAAATGGAAATCAATGGCAGGATATGCAGATTTTTTTGACAGCTCGACACAAACAATCTTTTGGGAGTTTGCCCTCTGTTGCCTTTGCCAGGTTAAAATAACAACTGAGGAGAGGAATTTAAAAGGAGCTCGCCTGGAGACAAGTGAGTGAGGAGGTCGGTTTACCTGGTAATTATAAAAAAAAAATGTGTCTATCATTTAAACCCGCTGGTTGAATTGGCAGGGATAACCATTCACGCCTGAATAAAGTGAGTAAATACTGATTATTTACGCGTCTAGATTTTTGCAGATTAAGCGAGTAGATGATTTTACTCACGCTTGGTGTAAGCGCCCCATTAGAGAGAATGTACCCATGATCCAGGTCCAGTGAAAGATCAAACACAAGCACATTCATTGAGTATGTATTCATTGAGATCAACAGGTGCTTTGATTCTGCAAGGTTAGAGTACTTTTGCTCAAGTTGTCTATGATCCATCTTATTATTTAAGAGCAGGGTTTTCATCCAACTTCTTCAGGAATAAAAAAAAGGAGAATCAAGTGCTACAACAGTATCCAAGTACAGTAATATGAACTTAGATGGACAGGACAACAGCTATCCTGAACTGAAAGAGATGCTCCACACCTCAGAGGTGCAGTTAAAACCTTCCAGTATAATACATTGTAACATACAGCTCACACTACAAAAATATAAATATGCATTTTTTTCTCAAACATGATTATTATTATTATTATCATTATTATTATCAATAATAATAATAAAAAAATAATAATAATAATAATAAACAAATACAATAACATAAATCATGTTTGAAAAAAAAAGTGCATATTTATATTTGTTTCAGCAGAAATATCTGTTCTGCTGTAAACTGTAAATACTTTTTTTTATTTTGATTTTTGACAGTTTAGTGGAAGGTTAAATATGAGTTTTAGTAAGCCAAAGGAATGAGATGTGCTATTGGATCTTTTGTTAAATGTGACCCACCTTCTGGATGAGAACCACCACCCCCTGCTCCAGGCTGATCAGTTTCTCCGACACCCACTTGGTTTTGTTCAGCAGCATGTCTGGAGCACCATCATAGCGATCCAGTGTGGCCTGCAGGTAGACCAACGGCTCAATCCAGGACTGAACCAGCATCAGCACAGAGTGGAGCAACCATTTATCCTGCAAGACGAATATATCATTACATGACAGAACAAAATGAATCTGAATCTGCATGAACATCAAAACAAAGTTATCCTTAATTAAAATACACCACAGAAGTTGACAAAGACACAATTACAGCAGAGCTAGTTATACTCTGTATCTGTATCTGTATGAGAACATCCGTACAGTGTGTGTTCTTAGTAGCAGCCATTTTCCCTCCAGAGTTTCTGCAAGTCAGTAATGAACAGACGCCATCAAAGAGGGGAACCGACTGAAGTTCAGACCAAAAAACCTAATAACAGCATGGCTTTTGATCAAGGGGGCTCATCAGCTACAAAACATACAGCAACTAAAGTAGGATGAAATGTCATGGGTGAGGCAGTTGAGCCTGCTTAAAAATCCCCTAAGTGGAGAAACTGTAAATGACCACCATACAAATGGCCATTAAACCGCCGAGCAGGCAACATTTGAACAGAAAGGGCAGAGGATAAATTATGAACAGAGGGAAGGACCTTGCAGTATATGCACTTTCGGAGAACACGTAAAATATTATGATATAACTTTCAACCAGCACTTTCAATATTGGTGAATACGATACCTTAAAGAAATTGCTTGGCCTTGGTTAATTGAAAGTGGATTATTGTAGAACTTCCCATTAAAAAGATTACAGTTCAATTTTGCTAAATCACCCCCCACTGGCCATTTTATAAGAGGCTTGATCTTGTTTTGACCCTACCAATCAAGCTGATTTTAGCCTTCAAGGCTCGACAGAAATACAATTTTACATAGGTACAAAGCAAGAGTGAATTAAAATGTAAGTCTGAAAGGTATATTAATTACGCCGTACTCTAATTCATGCAATTCACTGCCAATTCTGCAGAAGACACAGACATGTTTTATAAATCGGAGATTAATTTGCACAGAAGCATTTTTTTTGCATTCCTATCACATGCACAAAAATCTGCAGACACAAACACACTCTAAGTCAATCACACAAAAGCACAAATATTGAATCAGTGTACTCACGTCACACAACAATCACAAAGAGACACTGCCACAGTAAACACATACGCAATGACAAATGATAGCAGAGGCACACACGCAAAAAAAAAGCACTCAAACTCAGCTTATCAAGTGCTTACAAAGGAAACAGAATAAGTTTGTGCAGTTTTATTGTTGTCGTGTCCTTACAGAGATCATCTGGATTTCATTCTTGGAGCTGGGGATAGGTAGGGCTTTGGTGATGCAGGCGTAGCCAGCTTGGTTTCTCTGGAGTTGTAATGGGAATGGGACAAACATCTCCTCCTACAATCCGTAAAAGCACAAGGAAGAAAATGTAAAACTTATGCATCCTCAAAATTGTCTGAGAAGTTTTCATATTTCTTTAGTTTATTTTACATAAGAATCATCAGCCAGATTTTGAATCATGACACTCCATCCTAACCCTAAAAAAACAGACCCTTGAAAAGTCAGAGGGCAATTCAGTGGATTTTTCTAACTGATTGAAAACCTCAATACTCATGGGTATAGAATTAGAACATATCACAATTACAGAAACACCAGAGGAAGTAATCTCAAAAGCTTCACCAATCTGGGCCACAGGAGACACCGCAGAAACACATTTTGTTCTCCAGCATGTTCGCGTCTGTAGACCCCATGCAGTGTCTCCTCAGTAACAACCCCTACATCAACACATTTCAAAGACCATTTTGGATCCGGAGCCACAGACTGAAGGGGGATTCAACAGGCTGCAAAACCTGTGCTCTCATTCTGCGCTGCTGCAGAATATCATTATCACTTTCATATTACTCCAGTGTAGGCCTGCTTCTTCAATAAAACATCTTTGCCTCAGTAGAGAAATAGAAAATTACTTTGAAGCGCGGCAGTGAGGCGATGATCTTTTCAGAATCAAAAGCAAATAGCATATAATATCTAAGAGAAAGTGTCAGAGCTTTTGGTCCAGCATACAGTTAGTACAGCCAACAAAAAGCCTTCTATGCTCTCATTGTAACTCTTATTCCAAGAGCTGATAGATGCATGCTGAACTCAATGATAAAACAGCATACAGCATTGATAAATTTGGGCTCACTGCAAGGACCACACTGATGAGGAAAGTCTCTTGAAGTGCTTTTTTTTGTAACACCGATGAGCAGGACACGTAAAGACCTTCAATGCTGTCTCAATGACTCAGTTTTGTAACAAAACTGTTTTTCAATTCAATATAAAGAGCGATATAATTGCCTCTTAAAGGCAAAACTCTGCATCAGTGGCTCTGAAGCCTTTGCCCAAGGCTGCGTTTCTCCAGCACTGCTTTCTCAATGCTGATTTTATTTTTTAAAAGTGAACTCTATGCAGCATTAGCAGATCAGAATATTACCCCTGTAGCTAATGGTCTTTCTTAAATTGCCTTTCAGTTGAATCCCTTCTTCCGAGGCACAATGAAAATATTTCCTATTGTCATGTGCTATTGAGAGTGAAGAGGGATATGTTGCTCCTCAAGTTGTACACATGCACTGACAACACTGAGAAATCTTATGGATATAGGGGGTCTGCTGAACTTTTCCCTCTATACGGTACATAAGTGCAGAGGCATTTCTAAGGAGCCATGGTTGAATGTTACTCACAAACAAAGAGCAGGATTCTTCTGAGACGCGGTAGATAAGCTCAGCATGCTGGATGACCCGGTCTAGAAGTTTCTCTTGGGAGATGGAGGGGCAGCGGGAGAAACTACCATGATCTTCTCTACAGTCCAGTGGGAGGCTGCCAGTAAGAAGATATGGCCAGAGCAACAAAGCCCACACACCACGCTGTATGACTGGAAATAAATACAGAAGTAAATTCTACAAATCACATGAATGAAATACATATTTTGGCGCAAAATTTTTGCATCTATCTTAATTCTTTGCTTTGATATTACTGGATTTTTCACAGATTAACCTTAATCAACATCTTTGAGTTACATCAATCTGCTTATTAGTGTAATACATTACCTGCCATCATACCCATCAGTCAATAGCTGCAAGGTCTTCCTTGCTTTTCCATCATGCTGACTTCTCTTTTAAAGCCTTCTCAGGTCATGAATAAGACCAAAAGGTCATTTTGGGCTTACGCAGGTCCTTCAGTTCACGTAGGTTCTTAAAGGCAAACTCTGCACACTGGCTTGAAGCTTTGACTGCGTTTCTCCAGCACTGCTTTCTCAATGCTGATTTTATTTGAATACAGATGACTGAGTGTAAAGGACAAAGCTTACAAAGCTAACCTGAATTTACAAGAGACGCTGAATGCAAACAGACATGCCACATCATCATTTGTGTCAGAACCTTTTTTTTGGTTAAAAGACACGTGTAAAGTTTTGCTCTTAGATACACATGATAGGCCAACCTCACCCTCTTGTCTTACTTAAAACTACAGTCGTGTGATATGGCTTCTACATTCACGGCTGAAACACTATTGCACAAACTGAAATATTTTGTAGATTTACTTAAAAAGCTTGCAAAAAGTAGGATTAGGACACATAAAGATGTATTTAAAAAGCTTCACATGGAATGGACCGTAGAACCATGTCTGTTGGGTTATTCCAGGGATATTCCAGCATAAATTTAGGTATTAAAGTGCAGCCGAGTTTCGCAGCTCAAGGAAGAACATTTATGATCATTTCTTCATGGAAATGCAATCAGACCGAGATGCTAAGGCAGAAGAACTACCGTGTCTTCAGTGCAGAATGATTATTATGATGATCATTACCTCAAGGAAATGATCAGCTGCACTCGGTGATCGACTCGCCAGGGCTCCCCCACAAACAAGCTGCTGCTGGAGGAGAGTGGATGAGTTGTGTTTAGTCTCTTTGCGAAAGAAACCAGGAAAAGCTAAAAAGATGTTTGGTGGCTAGTACTATGGCTGGGACCCAATATGTACTGTTGATGAAGTTAAGTGCTGGTCAGAGCATTATTTGTGGCTACGAGCGGCTCTTTGGTTGAGGTTTGCACCTGGAGACGTAAACCACTGTGTATTGCTATCATGCGGTCGTTACTGAGGTTCGTACAACTAGAGAAGTAAGCAGTCGGCAACATTCATCTCTCATGGGGGTGCCTAACTCAGTGTTACGGTGAGTTTGACCATGACATAAACTTACGAAGGAATATCCTTTTAGTACAACATGAAGAGTCCAACAACTGCATGTGTGGTTTTTATTATGGTTACGAAATGATTGCACAAAAGTTTTAATTGTGCACTAAAAGGTATTTTGCTCATTTTGCTTGTAACTGTTATTCAGAGTAGAAAGTAAATGAGCTCAGTGTTATGGTAATCTTTTTCTTTTATATAGCTTTGTGGCTGTGAGAAAAAAAGAAAAAAAAAAGTTAAACTGTACTTATTCTACAAAAAAAAAAAAAGCATAGAAGTTGTACTGATGACTGTGAGGGAACAGGGTTAAAAGCATCAAAAGCTCTGTAAATTGTACCTTTTCAGTGCTTTTCCAAACTTAAGAACACTGAGTGCTTTTCACTACATTTCACACTTAATCCTTTCACAGACAATAATGCTGTGCCATAAGGTTTCTTCAGCATCTACTGTGTCTTTGCCAAGGATACTTTTGAAATTCTGACTACAAGAGCCTGAGAGGCTCAAACTACAGACCCTCCATCTCCTGAACCATGAGGTCACATGAGTCGCATACTGAAGTGTCCTCGAGCAAGATCCTAAACCCACATTTCTCCCATTGGCACGGCCACAGTGGGATTAGCTAATACTACTGTTCACGGAACCTAGCATCCTTTGTCATCTGTGAGAATCATAGACTGTATATACTATGGACAACTTGGTTTCGCCTTCCACTAGAATACGGATTTGAAGCTAAAAAGCTCTTGGCATTTCTGGGTTTTTTTCTCCATTTCCTGGAACCAACATTGTGCAGTAGCATTGTGCGCATTCGGCGGAAGAGTCACCGTAAGCCTCTGTGATAGCGCTCAGCTTAAACAGCATATCCCCTAGGTGAGCTACATAATCCTCTTACACCCATAGGCTGTATCAAGTGTCAATCATAGAAAACATGATTGAAAAAAAATAACTTTTAAAAATGGTGCTGAACAGAAAAGAGGACTTGAGCACAAACCAGTCTTACAGGAACTACACGTCAACATCGCAAGCTGCGTGGGGGTGGGGGGATGGGGGTATATTCTGTGAAATACAATTTTAATGTTTGTCCATAGTTCCATAGGGATTGCTGGAGGAGGCAGGATTTATGACCTATACTGCAGCCCGTCACCAGAGGGTGCTGTTCTCAGGGTGGCTTTATCCAGCGAGGAGGCAGATGGCATCCATTCTATAAACAGTCTATGGTTAGTACCAAGCATTGTCAGTCAAATCTAGGTAACCAGATTTTTTTAAAATATGCTAACAATATGAAATCTAATGAATTGACCTTGATTGAAAAATAAATATGAATAAAGGGGCTTGATATGTTTATTCCACCAAGCATCCTGCAAGAATGAAGACTGAGACTGATTAGATTTACAGAACAAAGAGGAGCTCAAAAAGGAATGGACTGAGAAATCCCTCTTTTCAGCTGAGGTAAGTATGTAATGTAGATTTAAACATGCATGACAAAGAGGGTTGTGGAGAAGACAGCGTGGAACTGTAATGGACACAACAAAAAGGCCTGAATGAAAAGGGGTCAGAAATCACAGAGATCAAAAGCCTTCAAATCTTCTTTTTTTTACATTTTGACAGTCATAATTTAGTTTGCTCCTTAAGCCACGAGTGTTTGAAAGTAGCTCTACCCAGAAGTTATAGTTCTCTAATGATTGTTTAGCTGTCATACAAGGCAGCACATATTAAGTTGTAATCCAAGCCCACTGAAAACAGACTATGTATAACACTCCTGTTTTTTTTTTTAATTCTGCACCGCTTGTTCGAAATCACTGGAGTTACATGCGTAATGACTGATTTGGAATTTCTAACTCAAATTCAAAATCCACCTTTTTTTAAATGCATACTGCAGGATGCTTTAGTTGAAAGATAGTGAAAATCAAAGTTTTTGCACACCTGTAAGCAACATCATGGGTTGGAATTACAAAAAGAGACGATGTTTAATTAAACAGGATTATTGTATGTTCAAACACATTACATTTCATGCAATTTCTAGAGTTGTGGTAAGTGATCTTCACTTTTTAGGTCTGACATAAACACATTTTATTTCTGTATTCCACGCAGACCAAAATTATGAAAAAAACGCATGTAAGAAGCTTAAAAACCAACGTTGACATCTTGTCAACATGTGTACATATTTAGGGATAAGCCAAAGATAGACAGAGATCAGCAGAGAGCAGCGAGTCAGTGTCTTGTTACTGAACATGATGTCAGAGGAAGTGTTCCCTCTCGCCTATCCTTAAGACACCTGAATCCTCATGACTGCCACACAGCTACATATGAATCAGTGTTCTCTGATCACCTTTCTGTCCCTTCCATGCTTCTTCCCGCAACACCTGTTCCCCCAGAAGCTGGTTACTTTAAAATATATATTTAAGAAATTACTTTTGACATCTGTTTCCTGAGACGGGACTACAGGGGAGGAATCAGCTCATCAAAAATTAATAGCAAAATTCTGCACACTGAAAGTCAAAAATCATTTATGAGCAGTGTTTTTTTGTTGTTTTTCAGCATTATCGTGTACAGAAGTTTGATTGTAATCTTTTTTTTATTCATCATTGCAATAAGTACAGAGCCAACCACAGGTGAAAATACTTTACAACTCAATCAATGATAAAGGCATATTGTCTGAGACGGACCTTTTTAAAAGCAGCAAAGACACACATAAAAGGAAGCTTTGAAATTTTGCAGAAATCACAACTTAAATTTCAGGAGACAACAAAAGCACACATTTTTAAAAAATGTTTCTGCAACCACTAAACAAGGATGGTTGTTCAACCTGAAGTCACTTTGAGGCTTCAACCACATGAATACTTCATTCTTCTCTTGTAAACTCTTCTGATTATTGGCAGTAATGCTTATAACCCAACATTAAACACTGGCCACAGCACTTGGATAGAAAGGATAAAAAAGCCTGTTTGATAACTCTGGCTTGAGAGGCACTGTTTGGAGGTTTTACGCTGAACTGGTTTGATTTTTATACTGATGTCTCTCCATGACCCACATAGAAAATTGCGATTATCAGTCTACACTGACTTTGAGTGCCTGTGTTCAGTCAGATTATTCAGGGAAAAAAGCTGCGATTTCAGGGGGACAATTGAAAGAGAACAGTTAAATAAGTTGCTTCATACCTGTATGTATAAATAGAAAAGCTGTGATCTTTTGTGTTAATGCAACACATCAGCGTGCAGTAGCACCTGTTCTTAACAGGAATAAAACACACTGGTTTGTAGCAGAGATGGGCACACTTAGCCTGGGTTGTACTTGAGTTGCACTCTATTGCAACTTCACACTTGGACTTGACCCTCGAAGACTTGAGAGTTGGCTCAGACTCGAGCTTTTAGACTTGTAGATAATCCTTTTATTTTGTGTTTTTTTTTTTTTTTACAGTAACATTTGACGCTCAATGTCACTCCCTCTTATCGTGTGAAATTATTCAACCACACCACAGCATGCCTAGCACTGTAGGCTGTAACAGCAGAGTGTTTGAGGCACAGAGATCACAACTAAGAAGACCATTTTTAATCCTTTTTTTCACCCTTATAACACCTCTTTTCACATTCAGTAAATGAACAATCATCACTCGCTCCTCACCTCCGCTCTGCAGGTAGTTAGAGAGGGAGAGAAAGACAGAGACACAGTAGGTCCCTCTTTTTCCTTGTGGGCTAATGATTGAGGTCACCGCTCATATCAGATAAATCTGATCTGTTTGCTGTTGCTCTCGTTTTTGAATCGTTATCACAACATGCCACCTTCCATGCAAAAATCACAACAAAGCATTCGAAACATGACTTGTGTTATTTTGAACTGATGACTTTGTCTTAAAAGATTAGACACAGAAAGGCAAAAAAACAAATGTAGAAAGGAGGCAGGTCTCGCGGTCGCTAAAAGAAGAGAGATGCCTGTGTCAGGGGTGGATTCAGGGTATAGCAGGGTATCAATAAATAGATAAATAAAACAACATCCTCAACAATTTAACTACGGAAATTAT